TTGTATCAACAGATCTCTTGACCTTTCAATAAGAGGCTCTTTATTGTGTGGATTTTGCAGCGCAGCGACGGACGACTTGCTGTCGGAGCAGATTATGTATTTTCCTTTAGCTGTTGTAGAGTGCATAATAGCATGGGATATGGCRATTAATTCAGCCCCGAAAACCGAGTTGTGCGGGAAAAGCAGTCCCGTCTTGATAACCTTCCCTTTCTCAGATACTACTGCAAAAGACGTCGATTGAGTTGTTTTGGAGCCATCCGTAAATAAGAACTTCCAGCCTTTTCTYTCTGAGTTGCTTTTAAATTCCAAAAATGTTTTTTGATATATTGTGGGGCTCGTTGATTGTTTAGGGTAGTCTAAAAGTTTCGAGATAAAAACGGATGGAGGGAGCATCCACTGAGGAAATTTTGTTGATTTAGTAAGCGTAGGATTGTAAAGGATGTTGGCTTCCTTCGCGTTCTRTAATGCATTATATATAGCTGAAGGTGTCTTCWTCCGACGTCTTCTTTTGGCTATATTTGCTACGTCTTTGTGCWGAATCGCGTTGTTTGTGAAGTATAGTTTACTTATTAAGCTGAGAAGGCTTTGCTTGTAACGTTCGCCAATGAAAGGGAGACCAGACTCTGCCAGCAGACTTTTTATTGGTGTTGTGGGAAAGGCACGAAGGCTCCTGCGAATTGCGTTGTGATAGGGTGCAGATAAAATCGATATTGTAATTTCAGCGCACTGTCCATAAATAGGTAGACCGTAGTCAATCACTGACAATAGCAAAGATTTTGTTATATTTATAAGAGTATCCGGKTGTATTTTACTGTGCTTAGAGGATAAGTACTTTATGATGTTTAATCTAGCGTTAAGCTTTTTTCTTATATATTTACAATGTTCCTTATAGTTAAGAGACTTATCAAAAATAATACCTAAAATTTTGAGGTATTTAACGTTAGTAATATTGTAATTTCTGTGTACAAAATTAAAGTTTTGACAATTTTTCTTCCTACATATGTGTAGAAAATGTGATTTTTCGTAAGATAGACTAGCTCCTGACCTTTTTGACCAGATATAGATTTCATCCATCACATTCGATAGCTTATTCAGAGTTTGGGATACGCAGTTGGTTTTTGAAAAAATCAAGACATCATCTGCGTAAAGAGAATGTTCTAGTCCCTGTTTGATTATTATTTTGCTAATTTCATTGAAGGCAATGATAAAAAGAATTACGGAGATAGGCGAACCCTGAGGTATGCCATTATATAGATGTACTCTATCAGAGTACTTGTTGTTTATTTTGGCCCTAAACGTGCGATGATTTAACAGACTTTTCACTATGTTGTAGATTTTTCTGCCCGTTTGCCAACTTTTGAGTTGTCTAAGAACTACGTGAGCACCGATTCTATCAAACGCTTTCTCGAAATCTAAGCTTAAAACTGATACATGATTCCGATTCGAGAGGGCGGTTGACAAGTAATGTTCAAAGTGTAGAAGTGCGTCAGATGTACCTTGCCCTTTTTTAAAGGCTACCTGGTTGTGACTGATATGTTTATCTCTTAAAGCGAGCCACATGGTTCGCTTTGCTACTATCTTTTCTAACGCTTTGCTGAGACATGACAACAATGAAATTGGTCGATAACTGCTAATTTGGTCTAAAGGCTTGTTAGGTTTTAAAATGGGAATGATGTCTGCATTCTTCCAGCTCTGTGGGTAGACGCCTGTTTCAAAAATAGTATTGAAAAGTTTAAGTACCCTATTTTTTGTGCTGTTTGGCAGATTTTTAAGCATTGGGTAGGATATTCTGTCGCAGCCGGGGGTTTTCCCCTTAGCCGATTGAACAACTTCGTCGAACTCTGTCATTGTGATATCCTTTTCAATCATTTTAGCGGAAGCTGATATTCTAGATGGGTTATATTCCGATATAAAATCTAATTTTTCTGCAATGAAATCTGCTGCAAAGTTCTGATCTTTGGAATATTCAGACCAAGTAGAAGAAAAATATTTCGCTATCTCTTCAGTAGAGGAGATAGTGCCGTTTTCTGTGTACATCACGGAGATTTTGCTTTGTCGTAAATCGCCTGTCAGYGTCCTAATGTCACGCCAAATTTGCTTAGGGGAAGAAATGGGGTTTATTGCAGATGTGAATTCTTCTAACCTAGTTCTTTTGTTTGCCTTTACTTSGTATCTGAAAGCCGCGTTGGCTTTCTTGTAATTAATAAAATTGGCTTCAGTTCTTTTCTTCTTATATATTGCCCACAATTCTTGTTTTTTTGGCTCTAAGTCTAGCTAGATTTCGGTTCCACCATGGAACGGCGGGTCTGTGAAAAGTTGTCTTCGTTTGTGGTATGCATAGATGAGCGGAAGACCTAATAATAGTTTTTATATTTGCTGCTTCTTTATTTACGTTATTTGATACTGGTATTTTGGATGACTCTGAAACGCAGCTTTCTTGGAACATCGACCAGTCGGCTAGTTCGGTGATAAATCTTGGTCTTTTAGTTGTTTTCTTGACATATATGCTAGAATTTACCGCCGTGAAAATTGGAAAGTCATCACTTCCATGTAAGTTATTTAAAATTTTCCATTTGCATTTAGGTACAAGACTCGCTGAACAAAGTGTGATRTCTATGTTTGAAAAGCTTTGGTGGGTTGAAAAATGTGTAGGCGAGTCTTCGTTAAGAACCGTCAGGTTTGAAGCTAGTATAACATCTTCAAGTGCTTTACCTCTTGAGTTTGCTACAGATGAACCCCAGARTGGACTCCAGGAATTTAGATCTCCTAATACTAACATAGGGCTTTGAATATTATCAATTATTGAGAACAGATCTGTCGAATTAAAGTTCTGGTCTGGTCTGAATATCTATTTTGTCTCCTTCAAAGTAATCCCCGTGAGATATACACTTGTGCCAACGGTTTTTCCAATCTTCGAAGAAATTCAAAAAATCACTTTTTTTATCGTCTTCAGCTCCTCCTTCGATGCCGTCTTTATCTCGTCAAGAGAAGCGTAACGTCGTCCTTTAATGGACCTCTTCAGTTTAGGGAACAAGAAAAAATCAAAGGGGGCCAGATCTGTTGAATACAGTGGCTGCGGCGTCATTAGTGTGTTGATTTTGGCCAAAAAGTCGCGCACAAGCAACGATGTGTGAGCAGGGACGTTATCGTGGTGCAAAAGACAATTTTTGTCCCATCTTCTCGGCCTTCTGCGAACATTTTGTACCACCGATAAACGTTGCTTCGGTCCAAGGTAGCTTCTCCATATGCCACAGTCAACATTCGGAATGCATCCGCGGACTTAATTTCGTTTTTCACACAAAATTTGATACAGGTTCCAAACACGTGCAAGCAAAGCAGCTGTCAGCAATTAAATGAACATTCAAAATGGCCGAGCTTGTCGGCATAAGCGAGAGACATGTGTACATAACGGAACAAAAAAATCGAAATTCGAATATACGTAACCCGCGAAAATTCAAAATTCGAGATACTTTTTGAACACACCTCGTATTTAGCAATGTCGGTCACGGTCCGGACCAGCCATTCAGTAGAAGTGATGTCGTTTTAGCAAAATTCTCGATTTCTGTCCAGCTTCTCAATACACTTCTGACCGTGCTGCGCAGATGTTAACTCTGCAGTGGGCTGCTGTTATATTAGAGGCTCGGTGGTCTCCCAATATTTTAGATTTAAATATTATTTCAAATATCGTACACTATATATATGTATATCGAGTTTATTATATCAAACTAACTAATTATTTCCAACTCTTTCTTCTCTATCCTCTATAAAATTTTAACTCCAAAGATTTGAACCTTTATGCCTTCAGGCAAGTGCAAGTACCATAAATAGCACAGTTTTCTTTTAGTTCTTCCACTGCTTCGATATGTTTCATTGGTAGGAACGTCGATATTATTCAAAATTGCTAATATTTTCTAGGCCATTTAAAAAGTTGTTAATAAAACCACATGTCTCTTTTTTTGTTTTTCTTAACAATCGATTATTTTATATTTTATTTTTTCAACTATTTACAACTAGGCAACAACGTTTCAGCTTTTCGCTAATTTTGAAACAAATTAAGCAACTGGAATATGGGCACCTTGGGGTTGGAAACCGTTCTCATCAGCGATGTAGTTGACAGTGTAAACTTGACCATCATCACCGGTGTAAGAATATGAGCCTTGAACGGAGATAGCTTCTTGTTCGGTGCCCAAGTTCTTGATCTTTCCGGATTCTTCAGATTTGATGCCGTTGCTGGTTTCTTGGCTGCAATAAGCAAAATGATTTGTTTGTTAATGACTGTTCTTTCAAAAGTAGAACGTAATTGTAAAAGTTCTTTTTGTTTTACTTACGCATATTCGTAGTTCAATGGCTCGACATTCGAGTCCAAACGCACGATTTGGGCATCCTGATCGGAGTTGGCCATGGCGACGGCGAAAAGAGCAACGAAAACAATTACGAATTTCATTTTCGCAAAAGATAAATGTGGAGCGATTTGAAGAGCTACTAAAAGTCTGTTGACTGCTGGTAAGCTAATGATGACAATTTGATGATGTGACAGAGTATTTATAACAGCCCAAAGCCACGCAACGTCTTGTGCATTGTTGTTAAATGATTTGGTCTTGTTTTAGTTTCATTTAGTTTATTTGTGGATCTTGAATATCGCAGCGGACATTGCAACAATTTTTGGGTGTTGTTAATTTTATTTATCATTTTGTCTTTTTGTCTTTCTAGTGGTTTTATTAATTTTTGTTGTTTTCATTTTAAATCGAAGCATTTTGCCTTTGCTTTGGCTGAACACAACTTTAAGGGCCTTCCGTTGCAGCTTCATATGTGTGGAATGTTGTAATGCATTAATTGGCCGCGACTAAATGTGACGTTCATCTTTTGGGAACCCGTTTTCTTATGCGCTCATTTCGTTTTGTTCAATAACAATACCGTTTTCGTAACCAACAACCTACTCCAACAAGGCACACACACACACACACTCACGCATTTAAACATGCACACAAACGTGTAAGGCAGCAATGCTAATGCCGGCGCTTCAAAGGTTCAAGCTGAGGGCAGGTTGAGCATGAAATTCGCAAATTACAATTTTAAGTTTGTGCATGTGTGTGTACACGATCTTATGTTGGCCATATAATACATACATATATACCATCGATTTTTTGAATATAGTATGTGTGGTATTACAACTCAAAGCTGGTGTGGTTAGTTAATATGCGAATAATTAATTAAATATAAATAAATTAAACTGAATGTGGGTGATTAGTTAACACACAACATGCATAAAAATTTATAAACTAGTTGTGATAAGTTAAGGTACAATTTTCCTTCGCCAAACTTCGCAAACTCTTTCCTTCTACAATTCTGTATTCTATGAAAAATTTCGTTTTACAACAAATTTATACGTAAATAAACAAAACTGCAGATCCGGCTGCTGGAACACCATTCACAGGCGTTTCTTATAGCATAAAGAATATCTCAAAAACTGAGGGACTAGTTCACGTCTATACAGACTAACGATTATACAAATGGACGATGTTAAACCCACTCAGCTCGTCACACTTATCATTTATATATGGTATATACCTATTGGACCTCCTGCGTTTACTGTTATATGTTACAAACTTCATAGCTAACAGAATATAAACTTATCACCTCATCACAGTACTAAAGAATGGATAATTGGATCACTTAACGTATGTTAAGCCATTCTAAAAACTTTATTCAAATTGAAGAAATTCAAATTTGTCTAACAAAGCTTTTCTGAACGGGATTCTCAATAAGAATATTTTGGAAGAAATACTTTAAGGCCTTTGAACCTATTACTGGTCTGTAAGAAATTATGTTCTTACTTTCATTGAACTACTCTTCCCTAGAAGCATATTTTGGACCACACAAGAATGAAAAATATTCCGGCCATTACCTCGTCACATAATCACCTTTCATCTGAATATATTTATAGTAATTTATATGTATATCAATTCAAATTTTGTTTTACCGCACAAAGCTTAAGCAGCATTGCCAAGCAGCAGGGTATCTTTCATTATTTAGTTTGGCGAACAAATTTGCATGACGTATCTCTCTCAACTTCTACTACAAATATTTGATTTTTGCAGTTCGATCGCGATTACTTTTAGACGCTATAAAACTAGCGCTTGCAGACGCATTTCATTCATTCACAAACTCAACGTTGTTTATAGCGATCAGCTTTTCCACATCAGATAAAATGAAATTCGTTATTGTGTTTTTCGCTTTATTCGCTGTTGCCTTCGCAGCTCCACAAAAGGATGCCGAGACATTGCGTTATGACTCGCAGGTTGAACCATTGAACTACCAATACAAGTAAGTCACAAACATCTTCTGAAACACCATTTGCAAATATTTGTAACCCACTCTTCTCTCTCAACTAAAAAGCGTTGAGACCAGTGATGGTAAAGCTGCCCAGGAGCAGGGTGAGGTTCAAGATTTGGGCTCTGAAGATGAGGCTATCGTTGTCCGCGGTTTCTACTCGTACATCGGAGATGATGGTCAGACCTACAGAGTGGACTACATTGCCGACAAAAATGGTTTCCAACCTCAAGGTGCCCATATCCCTGTTGCCTAAATGACTATGATGAAACTACTTCCTGTTCCTTGTTAACTAGTAAAGCTAGTATTAAAAAAAACACCAAAAAACATACTTAAAAAAATGTGTTTGATTTCTTTAATGTTTACTGTAAATGTGGGATATATTTGCATTAACTGGTTTACCTATGTTGGAATAGCTGAACTTTCCACTTGGGAATTCTGTAAGGTTGGATTATTTGTATCATATAACCACATTACATCTCACAATACCAATACTACCGCTACACTTCGAATTTTAGAACAAATACGATTTCTACAAAGCATTAGGTTTCCGGTGCTATTTGCATCAACTACAATACTCTTTTTTCTAAACAACTGCTGCTCTCAAATGCAATGTCAATATCCGAACATATTTCTGCCATGAAAAAAGCTGGGAACAGCTAGTCAATGAAAACAATAGCGCTTTGAAGTCAACTTAATAAATTTAGCATCCTCCATTTCTTAAATAATATCAAAGCACACTTAATCTATCAGTTTTTAGTAGACGAGGGGCACTCCCTGCTTCGCAATTCGAAATCCCTTTTCATTTTGAAAATATTTTCATAGTTGCGATAGTGCTCGGTTAGCATTATGTTTGGAAATTTGAATTTTATTATATTATTATGTGGATCCAGACAAGCGTTGCTGTGGTATACATTTTACATTATTATTCATATAATAAACTATTATTATTTACGAAAAAAGGCGAAAAGGTTGTCTCAGTATAAGAATCCAAGGAATTTTTATATATAAAGATTGAAATGTGAAAATTCTCTTTCTATAAAAAACTATTTTCGAAAAGGATCAGGAAGAATAAAAATTACTTGTTTAAAAGTGTACTTGCCTACCGCGTTCAAGAATTTGAGAATTTAAATTTAATGAAAATGCAAAATATTGTCCGTCTAAAGTAGTCGGACTAGTGTCACTCGGGTGAATGGAATGAGCGAAAGCAAATGAGAGTGTGATCGTAGTCTTAGTAGTTTTGAAAATAACACATATAGCACCGAGACTATGCAATATTGGTTCAATCCCTTCTTCGAATGAGTTCTAATCTCTAAAGAATGACGTTGTTTCTACGTTTTCTAATTGGATAAATAAATTACTAAGACTGTGTAAGACTTTTCAAAGTTTACCAATTCTACCTCATTGCAAAATATACAAATCGAGGTAAATGTGGACGTAGATGAAAGCAGCTTTCTACATAAAAATGCTTTTATGTATTTTTGCGGTATTATCAAATATTTTAAACAACATAATTGTTTAATGCCCTTGCCAAGATTTGATGGTGGTATCACTGAAGAAGATTTTTTCTTCACCTCAGAAAAGCAATATAGTAATTACCAAATACTAAAACCACCCCTTAAATTTATAGATTTTCTATCAAAAATCGAAGATATTTATACACAACATTTTGATTCTACTTGCCATAGGATCGGGTTTTCCCAAATATTATTTGAAAAAAATGGTTAACGTAAAACCATACTATTGTTGTGAAAATTGTAATTCTGATATTATAAAATGTTCATTGGAATTAGAACATATTTCCTAGTAAACGTTTTTAATAAAAAATTAAAACATAGTGATTTCAAAAACGTAAAGTTCTTGTGTGTTACACATAAATAGTAATCACGCCCGTTTGTCTGTCTACATGAGTCGGAATTTATATGTCTGTCAGTCTGTCAGTCTGAATTATTTTGTATTTGTCAAAAAGTTTATCTGTCGAAGGCCGCATTTCCATAGTTACCTTGATCTGAATTTTAGCGATTAGGTTTGTACGTTTATTATCAATATTTCTTTTGCTTTTTAAATGTTTTCGTGTGCCAGGTATAGGTCCCTTCTTTCCACCACTATTCCTTTGATAGGGTTTTTAATAAGTATTTCGCTGTGGATGATTTAGATTTTATTTATTTTTGTCTAGTCATATTTTTTATAATAAGTAGATTGATTTAAAACTATATATAAAAAGGGTGAAAAGGAGACCTGGGGAACCGAACACCCAAAAAAGATCGGTAGCGCGCATACATTGCAACCTCAGAGGTGGTGAGGAAGAGCAATAAATATCCAATAAAATTTTGTTTAAAAAATATTCTTGAAAGTTTTCATTAATGTTTTCCGTTACAAATACTTTTTCACAAAAAAGTTGATCTACTACATTTCTTTTAATTACATCTCTGTGACTAAAAAGGCAGATTTCGATCAGGTGATCTCAGCTGTGAAAAATTCTTGGAAAACAGCTGATTCTTTTGTTACTTGTAGGGTTATACAATGGTCCTGACTTTCCAGGGGCTCGGAGACAACTGATCTTATATATATTAATATATAATATGATATATACTTGTGTAGAAATTCGTAATTCAACTCATGTGGCTTTCTGAAATCGTGTTACATTATTTAAAACAGAATTTATAAATAGGCCGATAATATTAATTTGTTGTTGTTTTTTGAAATAGCAAATCCTAAAACTTTTCCATAAGATTTAACTATTTTCATACACACTTGCATACATCGGCAAAAATACGATATTTATTTAAAATCACATCCATTTGATAACTCAAAAATGTTGTCAGCCGGCATATGGTTTGCCCTCAGGCCGCATAAGCCTGTTTGACACTAATATGTATATCTAGTGGTTATGTACCAAAGTTTGCATGTAATTTGCATTCATTTTCCAGCAATAAAACCATGTTGCAGCATTAGCTTGGGTCTTTCGCTAAGTCGCTTGTCGCCCTAATTAGCATGACATATTTCTTGCAACTCCTACGACACACTTTTGATGTTAGCATTAGCTATTACATTTAGACACTATAAAACTAACTCTTTGCAGACGCATTTCATTCATTCACAAA